TTCTTCTAATTTATAAATTTATTTCGTGTGACGCTTCCATGTGCATGCTTTTTTCGTTTGTATTATGTAATGTATATTATTTAGTTCTCTCATACCTCTATGGAGGAAGCAAAGGGAAATAAATTATTATTATTATTATTATTATAATAAATTATAAATTATTATTATTATTATTAACGAGATCTCGACATCTATTTTTCGGCGTCCTACAGGTCTAATACCACTAATTAGAACTTCGTAGACGACAATGTTAGCGTTTTGGTAAATTTCTCCAAGAAAAAGGATCACAAAGATCAAAATATTGTCATCGTGTAATTTGTTGAAACCACATGTATGTAATAGAATTCTGACCAGCAAAACACTTGTTGCCCAGCTCAAACAAAATGGTGTAAACTGTTACGTAATACCTAATTATTATATGCATGACAGGAACTTATTGGTACACTTATCAACGCTGTCTCGGGGTTTTCTGCACTACTTAGCTGTGTTTATGGTGTCCTACAGCCAAGTTATGTTGGGTTGTGTCTCAGTTATTCAATCACAGTAAGTATTACGAAATATGTAAATACGGCTGATTTTTATAGTCGTGACACAATATTTCCTATAGAGCACATGGATGTGCCGTCAGTTGTTACGATTTTCCTGTATTCTTACCTGAAGATAATTTGTATTATGTATTATCAGAAGCTTACTCTCGATGACTGACATTTATTTTTACAGATGTCTGCAAACCTAAATAACAGCGTACGTCTAATAGCAGACTGTGAAATTCAGATGAATGCTGTAGAAAGAGTTGAGCATTACACTCACATAGCAACTGAAGATTACGATGGTAGGGTATTGCGTTGTATTATGTCAAATTCGCTGATAATGCCAATAATTTCACCATTCTATTGAATTGTCTTACAGGTCAAACGCATTGATTAAAAGTTTATATTTTCCATGTTATAGGAGTGTACATGCCGTCGGATGATTGGCCAACTAGAGGTGAAATAAAATTAGATAATTTGTCAGTCAAATATGCAGCTGATTTAGATCCCGTTCTAAATGACGTCACGGTTCACATAAAAGCTGGCGAGAAGGTAATAAGTGGAACATTCCATAAATGTTGATTACAAAATTTCTGTGACACATTAGGAACCAGTTTTCTTAGTTTATTAGTAATATTCGTCACATTAATTAAATCATTATTTTCATGTATTTGTTGTCATCATATTAATCCGATACGCGGCCGTGGTGTATTGACATACATGTTTCCAAACACGCAATGCTTCGCGTGATGTATTAATCCGATACGCGGCCGTGGTGTATTGACTGACATACATGTTTCCAAACACGCAATGCTTCGCGTGATGTATTAATCCGATACGCGGCCGTGGTGTATTGACATACATGTTTCCAAGCACGCAATGCTTCACGTGATGTATTAATCCGAATACGCGGCCGTGGTGTATTGACATAC